AACTCTCTAAGTGTTTAAGTTATCGACTGTTGTTCTTCGTCCTTCTTTTTTGAAGAGCACCGATGATATCACAGGGTGACGTCTTGACTTGAGAGTGAATTGGATTTAAGTGAGGCAGAGTTGTACAAAGTCATCAGCCTCACTTGTCTATCTGTGGAAGGAATTTCCTTACCAGAAATTCCTCACTCTAGGGAAATTGCAGGTCAGAAAAAAGAGATAAGTCCTCAGGAAAAAAAAAAGAGAAAATAGCTTTTGTCCATTTGGTCCACAGGAAGAAAACTACATTTCCCAGGAAGCCCTGTTCTTAGACTTGATTGTACAGATAGTCTTACCTGTGTGAACCGTATTTCTTTTTCTCCTTTGCTGGTTCTTCATCCTAGGTAAGCCCACTAATAAAGAGCATCCCCCAAGGCTCTGTCCCGGACCCTTTTCTCTTCTCTCTCTATACCTGGCTTCCTAACTTTTTTCATGTCACAGATCATTTCAGTGGTTTGGTGAAGCCTAGTGACCTCTTCTCAGAAATAAGTTTTATGGATGTCTTTTTTTTGTTTTTTACATCACCACAATTTCCTCCAGTATCTTTCTCCCATTTCCTTCCAGAGAGCCATCCTATATAACAAATAGTATTAAAGAAAAAAAAAAGCCAAAAAACCAAAAAGGGAAAAATCAGCACAACTAATTAATATACTGAAAAATTCAGAAAATATGTCAAATGTACAACACTTGTCAGGATGCTTTTAAATAATAGAAGGAAATGCTGAATTTCAGTTATAGATTAGGGAAAATAAACATGTAATTTTTTGTGACTTGTCACTGGCTATTCCTAATGTCTACAGCACTCTTCTGCTTCACCTCTACCTGTCTACTAGCTTCCTTTAAGGCATTTCAAATCCCACCTCCTGGAAGAAGCCTTTTCTAATCTCTCCCACCCATCTCCCCCACTCCACCGTTACAGCCTTCCTCAGAGATTATCTCCTATTAGTACCGAGTTATTTACATGTTGTCTCCACCATTAGAATGTTAATTCTTCAGGGGAAGGGGCCATGTTTTTACTTTTCTTTGCATTTCCAGTGCTTAGCACAATGCCTGGCACATTGTAAGTGTCTAATAAATGCCTGTTGAGAGCAGGATGCTTTCAGAAAAACCTGGTAAGACTTACATGAACTGATGCAAAGTGAAATGAGCAGAACCAGAAGAACATTGTACACAGTAACAGCAATATTTTATGATTATCAACTGTGAATGACTTAGCTATTCTCAGCAATACAAAGATCTATGACAATTCCAAAGGATTTAGGATGAAAAAAATGCTATCCACCTCCAGAGAAACAACTGATGGAGCCTGAATGCAGATTGAAGCATACTTTCTTTATTTTTCTTGGGAATTTTTTTTTTTGGTTTGTGTTTTCTTTCACAGCATGACTAATATAGATATATGTTTTGCATGACTGCACATGTGTGATCTATATCAAATTGCTTGCCTTCTCAATGAGGGAGAGAGAAAGAATTTGGAACTCAAAAATGTAAAAAATGAAGTAAAATTGTTTTTACATGAAATTAAAAATAATAAAGACTTGAAAGAATTTTTACATGTAATTGGAAAAAATAAAATATTTGAAATATATATATGCTTACTGACTGCCCATCAAATGTAATTGCCTGTTATACTGTACTATTTTACAAAGTTGTTCTGGAAATAAGATGAGATGTGCTTTTTAACAGTAAAGTAGCTCATAAATGTGAATCTGAGGTACAAATATAAACTATTATTAATAACAAATAATCATAGTAATTATTATTACTCGTCTTTCATTTGTTTTGCCTTGACCCCTTGTCTCCTTAATTAGGCTGTAAAATTCTTAAGGGCAGAAACTCTGTCTCACTTCCTTGTGTACCTGTTGTGGGTCAATACACCTCTGGAATTGGGGAGCTAGAGTTAACTCCCACACTCCCACAACACCAGCCAGAATTGTTGTGAGCATAAAAGCTATTGTTGCAGATCTGGGATGCTACAAGTTGACTTTGCCCTCAGGTGTATTGATTTGACACCCAGCTGGGGACCATTTGGTCTAGACAATATAAAAGCAGTTTTTAGGATTTCGGAAGGGAGATCTGGAGATCCCAGGGAACCTCCTTGCCAACTGCTTTTAATTTCCTTGCCAGTGGCTTTTATAGCATGTATATATACATACACATGCATATGTACACACAAATACATACATGCATGTACATATGCATACATATATACACATGATCTCTATATACACACCTACAAACCTATGTACTCATAAGCATACATACCCATATATAGGAATTGAGTATTTGAATCCCCAGGCCCTAAACGATCCATGGTATTACACGTAATAAGACAATGGTCTGTATAGCTGGTGGCATAGTGTTGGACACAGTGGGTACTCAGCTTTAACTTTAATCAGTGGGTATTTTATTGAGCTGAATGGAATCCTGGTTTTGGCTATTTCTCTCCCAGTCAGTAATGACCTTCCTTCCCACTTAGACTTCACATTTCTCACTACTGTTAGAATATAAAGTTTTGTGTTAGTTACATTTATGTGTCATACTCCCTACTAACAATAATATCTGACATTTATATAGTTCCATACCCTCCCTCTGCTAGCTCTCTCAGCAGAATACCTCAACTTCTCCTTAAATTGGAAAGTAGAGAACATTTTCCACGGGTGCTCTCTTTTCCCCTACTGTACATTTTAAAGACCCCAGTCATCAGGTAACATTCCCTCTGCCTTTACTCTTGTCTTTGTTGAAGAGATTGTCCTTCTCCTCACCTAGGCCAACACCTAGACTTGTACCCTTGATTGCATTGTCTCCCAAAATTAGATTGCTCCCCAAAATCATTTACCCTCTCCCACTAATCATTCTCTGAGTATCCTTCCTTCCCATCTACAAACTTGCCTTCATCTCTTCATCTTTGAAGAAAAATTCTTCCTCAATCCTACCATCTTCTCAAGTTATGATTCTCCTATATAATGTACTTAATTACTGTCTTTTCAAAGCTCAGGTCAAGTACCATTTCTTATCTGAGGCCTTTCTGAGCCCTTGAGTTTCTACAGCCTTTTCCAATCAACCAATCAATCAATATTTATTAAGCACCTCATATGTGCCGGGTACAGTGCTAAATCCTGGGGATTAAAAAAAAGAGGCAAAAGGAAGTCCCTGTCCTCAAGGAGCTTACAATTTAACAAGGGAGAAAACATACAAACAAATATATACAAAGCAAACAATATGCAATAAATAATTAACAGAAGGAAGAAGGCACAGAAACTAAGATGAGTTGGGGAAGGTTTCCTGGAGAAGACGGGATTTTAGTTGGGACTTAAAGGAAGCCAAGAAGATCAGTAATTGGAATGGAGGAGAGGACATTTTCCAGGCATTAGGGACAACCAGAAAGAATGCCTGGAGCCAAGAGATGAAGAGTCCAAAAGATAGAGAATCTCATTTGTGGAACAGCCAGAAAGCTAGCATCACTGGATCAAAGAGTTTTTGACAGGGAGTAAGGGCTAAGAAGATTGGAAAGGTGGGAAGGGGCTAGATTATGAATGGCTTTGATGGCCAAGCCGATGATTTTATATTTGATCCTGGAGGCAATAGGGAGCTATTGGAGTTTACTGAGTAGGGGTTATTGAGTCAGGTGATGTGATCAGATCTCTGTTGTAGGAAAATCACTTTAGTAGATAATTGAAGGATGAATTGGAATAGGGAGAAACTTGAGACAGGCAGATCCACCATCAGGCTATTGCAATAATTCAGGCAGGAGGTGATGAGGGCCTACACCAGAGTGATGACAGTATCAAAGAAGAAAAGGGGGCATATACCTGAGATGCTGCAAAAGTGAAATCAACAGTCTTTGGCAATAGCTTGGATATGGGGTGAGGGTGGGAGGAGATATTGAGGAATCCAGGATGGGAGTCCCAGGTTGCCAACCTGAGGGACTGGGAGGATGATGTTGACTTCTATAGTAATAGGGAAAGTAAGAGGAAGGGAGAGATTAGGGGAAAGGATAATTAGTTCTGATTTGGACATATTGAGTTCAAGATGTCTGCTGGACATCCAGACTTCTGAAATTCAATTGGAGATGTTAGAGTAGAGGTCAGAAGAAAGACTGGGGAAGGTAAGGTAAATCTGAGAATCATCAGCATAGAGAGGGTAGGTAATTAAATCCACAGGGGCTAATGAGATCACCAAGTAAAGTATTATAGAGGGAGAGGAGAACGGGGCCCAGGACAGAACCCTGATGGACACCTGCACAGGGCATGGATCTGGAAGAGGATCCACCAAAGGAAAAGGCAGGCATGTATGTAGATATATGTGCAAGTTACATATATTTATGTGTATGTACATGTGTCTATATATACATATATGTATGAATGTGTGTATATAGATGGATAGATAGTACATGTTGTCTTCCCCAGAACATGTAAAGTTTTATGCATATACACATACATATATTTATACTTACATACATGTATATATGAGAAATATATAAAATTACATCATGCCAGGCCATAAGCTCCAGCAGGACAAGGGTGGGCTGTCTTATCTAAGCATTGTGTCTCTCAAAGAATCTAACATGTTTGAACCCAGGGGCTTAATGGAAGGGGGTGTGTCCTGGGGTGTCTCTCTGTGCCCCATGAGTCATCCCAACTCGGGAGGTGAGTAGGTTTGTAGGAAGGGGCAAGAACTTTGTCCTAGAGGCTCAAGTTTGCTTCATTCACTAATTTCTTCATTCATTCATTTGGGGTGGCGGGGATCCGGAAAAGGGAGAGGCTACGGCTTCTTACTGTCATCTCACCCCTACGTACCCAACCGTACTCCCTCTCCTTCACCCAAATTGGAGATGAAGCGAGGTAGAGGAAAGTGGCAGAGATGGAGGACAGCGCTCTGCACGGCATCCTAGCAGGCCTCACGTAAACCCCGTGAAAGACTACAACTCCCATAAAGCATCACGGGTAGCGGCGCATGCGCTGAGGGCCCAGCTTTCCTGGTTGGGTCTGTAACATCTGCAGAGAATTGTGGAAGGGGATTTCCTTTTCTGCCCACGGTTAGAGTTGCGAGGTGAGGGGAAAGGGGCTTATGGGCTAGGGGTTGGGAAGCGGAACTGGAGGGAAAGCAGGGGCGAGAGGTGGGAGGCGTGCGGAGTGGGGAGAGGGGCGCCCTGTAGCCCCCACGGCTGCCTTGCTCACAGCACACGCGCTCTTTTCCTCCGCGCCAGTGACCATGACCAAGCTGGAGCAGTGGATGTCCACGCTGCTGGTGCTGATGCTCATCTGGCTGTGTCTGGTGCAGGATCTGCTCAACCTGGGATATAGTAAAAAATTCCACGATGTGATATTACCCTTACCCGTCTACCTCCTGGTCACCGCGGGCAGCTACGCTCTAGGCACCCTGGGTTTGCGCTTGGCCAACTTCAATGACTGTGAGGAAGCTGCCCAAGAACTGTTCATGCAGATTCAGGAAGCCCAGGCTGATCTGGCCAGCAAGGGCCTCATTCTGTGATCCTCTTAGGCCCCGAAGCTTCCAGATCCTCAGCTGCCTCCCAAGCACCCAGCCCCAGGCCACCCCTAGGGCCCCTCTTCAGCTAAATTAAAAGAGTAAATGCTCCTTTTCTTATTCCTTTGACTGGAACATTTCTGGGGCCAAGGAGTGGGGTGCCTAGGGGAGACTGAGTGAGGCATATGGACAGAGGTTGGGGAAACACTGGAGAAGAAAGGTTGGCTTGGGGAGAAAGGTGTGGAGGGAAAGGACACTGCCGAAGATGAAGGGTGAGAGAAGGGAGGGACTGAGAGGACACTGTGGCAGATGGAGCCTGGAGGTGACACTGAAAGACAGAGGGACTGAGAGAACACTGCGGGAGATAGAGGGGGCAGAACTAAGAAAACTAATTTCCCTAGGAAATATTGCTGCCTTGCTCTGATTGAGGGATACCAGGGCTCTTAAAGTTTTTCCGAGTTATGGCCTTGCTTGGCACTCTGGTGAAGCCTATGGGCTCTTCTCGGAAAAATTTTCTAAATACATAAAGTAACATACATAAGATTACAAAAGGAAACCAAAGGCTGCTGAAAATTAAAATGTAATTTTTCCCCACCCAAATTCACCAACCTTTCTCCAGGCTATTAGATGTAGATAGAAAGGACCTCAAAGGCCATTTATTCTAATTTCACAAATGATGAGTAGTACAAGTGTTGTACCCATTAAAAGCTAAAAGGCCCAGAGGAAGGCCTCCAATGCCTTTTGCAAATCCTCTAGGTAGTATTTTTCTAGAATAAGAGCAGGAATAGATGGGTTGCTATCTATACCAAAGGCAAGAGTAATATGGATCCTTTGCAGCATTGAGGCATGATATGTTAAGCCACAGACTTTCCTGAGTTCATTCTATCAATCACCAGAAGGCCTCATAGCATAGTCCAAGTGGAATAAGATTCTCCTTTTTTCATTATTTTCCAGGCTGGGACTATTAAATTACCCCCTGCAGTCTTCCTTACCCCTTTAGATGTCTCCTCATTCTTGCTGGAAATCCCGAAGTCTAGCTTCATATCTAACTTTTCTAGTCTCTGCCTTCCTCTTAAGACCTTTTTCCTCTCCTTTCATTTTCTAAAACCTTCCCCTAATTCTCAATTCTGATGTTTCCACCCACCACCCCCTTTTCTCGACTCTGGATAAATTCCTTATTTCCCAACCCAATTTGGTGGAACCACAGAGAACAGACTAGGGAATGCAGAGGAAGGGTATGTATGTGATAGTTTATTATAAGGCACAGAATGGAACTAAATATTATCCCAACCCCACATTAAAAAAATAATCTCTCTAAAAAATAAAAATGAAAATTCCTCCCAAACAAAAGCCCTAATTTTGGTTCCTCTGCTTTCAAAGAAGCTCCTTCTTCTTCTGCTCCACCCCATTGTGGCTAAGAAGTTTGAGCAACGAGGTATAGCTGAAGAGTCTTTGACAACAGGTCAGCACCAAGGTGACAGGTGAAAGGATAGGTATGGTATACCCATTACCACCATTCTTAGGTCTGAAGAAGGCTGTAGCTCTTTTCTTGAACCTGGCGGTATTGCCAGAAAAGTCCCAAGCGTATCAGGCTAGTGAGAACTCCTGGTATGTTGGGCACCTAGAAGGAAACAAGAAATTGCAATAAAGTGGGGACCTGGTTTCCTATTCTGCATACCCACTACTATCCCCACCCTGGCTCACCATAATGTAGAGGTCTCTGAGGCGGAAGCCATAGAGAGTCCAGGAGGCAGAAGCCAGGAGGGTAGCCACAGTGAGGGAGAAAGACAAACATTGAGTGGACTTGGTCTGAATGATCTTGACCTGTAGGGAAGGAAGTCATTAATGTCCTTTACACCCTCCCAAGAAGAAGGGTCAATCACATCCTTCCCCCTGCCTCTACTCAAGGTAGCACCTTTTCCTCCCCAAACCTAGATAGATGGTGGGATCTCTCCCTCTTTAATCTCCAGTGTAACAGATAATAAAGTTCATAGGAAATCAAAGAATTTTAGAGCTTGAAGAGTGCTTAGATTGGTCTGACTAGATTTAGTCTGACTTCAATTTAGAGATAAGAGAACTGAAAGCCAGATAAAGGAAGGAACCTTGCTCCAAATCACAGGGGCTGACAATCCCATCGTCCCTATTTCTGTGCTGTTAAAACCCAGTGTCCTCCACCTTCACTCCCTTTCCTCCAGCATCTGTTCCCTTTCAGAGGGAAAGCCAGTACCCAAGTGTCCATGACCCCTTCCTAACTCTCCCTTCCGCACTGGACCCACCAGGTCAGCCAAGGGTGACAGGTACATGCTGATGGTGAAGATGCTACAGAAGAGGCCCAGCTGCCTCAGCCGAGAGGTCCAATCAGGCACCAGGAGCTGAAAGTAGCTATAGCCCAGGAGGAGAACACCGAGCAGGGCAGCAGTTTGCAAGAGGACGGTACGCTGTGGGGGAACGGAAGAATGGGGTGATAGCAGTCCCAGCCAGTTACCCAAACCTCAGCAATCCCCAAGTCTCCATTTCTGTCCTATTCTCTTGAGGGGCGGTAGCCTGCAGAAGGACTCATGCAGGAAGCCCCCAAATCCGATGGATAGGGAGTACACACATGTATGCCAGTTAAAGAAAAGCCAACTAGATTGAGCCCTAGATAATTAGCATCTAGACATTCCCCTCTTCCACTTTTCTCATCTGCATTACCACAACCACCTAGTCTTGCAGATATTTAGGGGTTAATAGATGCTAAATTGAATTGGATCAGTGCTGAGGAAGTATGAAGCAATTCAATTAAACAATTCAATAATTGTGGGATACTGTTAGGCATCAGACCCTGAGGGGAGAGGAGAATACAATATAGGAAGGCTTTCTGAAAGAAGGGAGCCCAGCTAAGATAGCCCTCCAGGAAAAGGTGGCAATATTAGGTCAAAGGAGAATTCGAGGAAATGTTGACATTGCCTGGCTAACGTGGCAGTACTCCAGCAGGGCCTAAGAGGCTGAGGGATGGGATTGGCCTCTACCTTGCGGGGACAGTAGTGGAGATAGGTCAGCATATAGAAGGTCTGGAGAAAGGCTCCCACTGCGTTCACCACGATGAGCGTCTTGTCTCCTTTCAGGAGCCCGTAACTCAGCCAGCTTAGGTTGCTGCAGGCGAGGTGGACGATGGGTTAAGTCCCCGAAGGAGTAAGAGAGAGAGAGGCTGCTTTAGCCCCAGCACCCCAGAGGCCAGTAGCTGGAAGCTTTCCCTCCCTCTTTTCTCCCTCTCCTCCCCAAAGTCTTGCAAAGACCCTCCCCCAACCAGCCTCACTTGACATCCGTGGTGAGAAAGGGCAGGAACTGGATATTGTTCACACTCCGGGTGGTCTGCATGTGCCGGAGGTCCGAGCTGTAACGAGATTGGAGGGTTAGGAAGGATGCTGGGGCTGAGGCTGGGACCAGGAGGACCCTCCCCTTCTGTGACTTGCTGGGACCAGGCTCAAACCCTCACCTTCCAGGCTTATTTCTTCTCTGGGCTCCGCCCCCAAGTCCCTTAGCTCCTCCCCCTCCCCCTACACCAGACCCAACGGAGCCCACCACAACAAGGTCGTGGTCGTGGTCGTGGTCGTGGTCGTGGACGTGGACATGGACTTGAATTTGGGGCTCTAAGTTCCCAGACCTGGGCCCTCATCCCTGGCTTCACTTTCCCCTTGGGGCCTTCTAGGCTCCAGCCCCCAGCCCCGGTTCGGTTCTCACAGGCCGGCAGAAAACATGCAGAGGGTGAAAAGCACGCAGGCTCCAGCCAGGAGCGTGTCCGGAGTGGCCGCAGACTCCATCTCAGCCCCAGCCAAAGGCCCGAACTCTCGGGCCTGGCTCCCTGGTCCTCGGAGCCCCGCCCCCAGCCCCAGGCTCCGCCCCAGCAGGATGCTCCGCAACCTTGGCCCCGCCCCCTTCCGAATGCCGAGGCTGCTCGCTTCCCGCCCTGCGCTTCCGAGACTTGCCCGACCGGCCGCGTTTTCTCCGCCTGCGCCAGCCTCTTCCCCAAAAGCCAGAGCTCGGAGAACACGGGCTTCCCACAGTACCTTGCACGGACATAGCAGGAGTTCCATAAATATTTGTTGATCGATTTGCCACCCAGCTCTAGAGACCTCGCCTTCCTCCCACCCACTCGTGGAATCATTTCCCTGAATACTTTGCCCTCCTCCCCCTGGGCAGTCCAGACCAGGAAGTGCCCAAGCACAAGGCTTCCCACGTGGCAGGTGTGCAGTAATAATAAAGGCAGGCGTTTGCAGACGATGGAGGGGCAGAAAAGTGTTTTGCAGGCATTACCTCGTCTGATTTCTCACCACTGCCCTGGGAGGTGGATCCTCCAAGTATTATCCCCATTTTACAGATAGGCTAATTGAATATGAGAGAAGGGATGTAATTTGCCCGTGGTCACACAGCTGGCTATTGTCAGAGATATATTGCAGTCTAGATCCCTTGAGACAGTTAAGATAGAGGGGTGGGCCTTGGATCAATTAATCAATAAGCATTTATTAGGTTCTTACTTACATGCCAGGCACTTATGTGTGAGGCAGTTATATGGCTCCGTGGATAGAGACCCCAGGTCAGGAAGTCCCGAGTTCAAATGTGGCCTCAGCTACTTACTAGAGTGTGACCCTGGGCAAGTCACTTAACCTCTGTCTTGGAGGCAGCTAGATGGCTCAGTAGATAAGATTACTGGGGCTGGAGTTAGGAAGATCTGAGTTCAAATCCAGCCACGGATAGTTTTTAACACAGACAAGTTACTTAACCTGTTTGACTTAAGCTGCTGGAGAAGGAAATAGTAAACCATTCAAGTATCTCTGACAAGAAAATCTCACGGACAGTACTGGCACGGGACGGTCCACAGGGCCATGAAGAGTCAGACAACTGGTAGACTAAACAATGTGCCAAGAAACACTGTGCTAGGCACTAGCGTCAAAGACAAAAAAATGTGAAATAATTCCATTCCTTAAGGAGCTTACATTCTCTCCAGGAGACACATACATATATAGGCATGTGGAAAGTATATGCCAAATAAATATGAGAGAAAGGAACAAGCATTTATTAAGCACCTACTGCATTCCCGGCACTTCAATAAGTGCTTCACAAGTCTGTTAGCTTTGAGTGTGTGTGTGTAGGGTAGGGAGGTAAGGGGAAGGCACCAGCAGCTGTAGGGACTAGGAAAGGCCTCACATAGGAGTGGGCACTTGAGTTAACCCCTTGTAAAGGAATCTGAGGTATGTAGATTAAGAGTGTGTGCATTCCAGACATGGGGACAGCCATGCCCCAGACTTTGAGGCTGGAGATAGGAGTGTGAAAGGGAGGGGCGAATAGTAAGGCCAGTTTGGAGTGCTTGGAGGGGAGTAATGTAGGGAGTAATAGATTGGGGAGTCTGGTTGTGGGGAAAATCAGGAAAACCTGGCTCTGACATGCCAGCCTTATGACTGTGAGCTGATCCTGATGCAACTAGGAACAGAAATTACAGATTAGCTGCTGATCTGTGATCTGCATAGGTGGCCAGAACTGTGACACACCATACAATAATGGAGTAACCTAAATCAATTCGAAAACATGTATGAGGTACCTATAGTGTGCAAGTGAGTCTGCTGCGTTTGGAATTCTCTTTCCACCTCCCACACAGTCTTCGTAGTGGAGATGGGGGGTACCACCCACATACCATAGTGCTGGCATTGCCCCTGTGCCACAGCTGACTCACCCATTCCCTGCCCAGACCAAGATCCTAGGCAGTTTGAGCACCTGAACCCATAAATCCAAGGATTCTGACCAACTATACTCCAGTATCTAAAGGGAAAGGAAGGAAGGCCTAGGAAAGTCCCTTGTGTGCTTCAGGAGAGCAACAGAGAAAATTGCCTCAGAAAAGGGCTGGGAATTCAGGAGGGGTGACTCAAGGAGAGTGTGCTAGGCTCCTACTTTTCTGGAGAATGAAACAAGGGCTGAGATGTAGAAGGAACAAGAGGCTGGACATCAAGAGCTTCTTGACTATGGATGGAATACTACAATCACAGAAGGTTGAAGCCCTTCCAGAAGTATCCTCGTCCCCATCTTACAGAAGAGAAAATTTAGGAGATGATGGTAGGCAGGGCAAATGGGGAGAGGCATTAACTTCTTTCTTAGCACTCATAAACGGATAAATAAATAGCAATCATAGGCATAGAACTGAAGGGGGTCTTCAAGATCAGATGACTCAGTGGTGGCAAAGAACTGGAAACTGACGGGATGCCCATCAGCTGGGGAATGGCCGAACTAGTGGTGGTATATGATTGTGAAGGAATACTACTGTGCTGTAAGAAATGATGAGTTGGTTGACTTTAGAAAAAATATGGAAAGACTTGCATGAAAAAATGAAGAGTGAAATGAGCAGAACCAAGAGAACGTTGGATACAGTAACAGCAATATCGTTCAAAGAACAACTGAACGACTAAATTATTCTGAGTATTATAAATACTCAAACCAACTAGAAAGGACCTTTGAAGGAAGATACCATTCACCTCCAGAGAAAGAATTGATAAACAGATGTATGTGTGTATGTATGCCATTACACACACACATATAATCTGTGTCAAATGATGGCCTTCTCTAGTGTGGGGTGGGGAGGGAGGGAGAAAATTCAGAACTTAAAATAAAACAAACAAAAAAAAAGATCAGATGACTCAGCTGCCTTCTTTTACAGAAGAGAAAATGAGATCCAGAGTGGTTGAATGAGTTTCCTAAGACCATCAAACTAGTAAGTAACAGAAGCAGGATTTAGACTCCAATCACCCAATTCCAAATCCACTGTCCTTTTCACTATACTATATTGCTCCCAGAAGAGGAGAGTCTCCTAAACATTCAGGCAAGGGGAGAGGTGGTCCCATGTGGACAGAGAAGTAGCCTGACAGGGTCTCCAACCTGTGCAATGATGGGGCAGAGGAAGTCCAAAAAAAAGTAACACATTTCATTCTGACAAAGAGCACTTGTGTAAAAACAACAACTTTAGTTATAGAAATCTCTCCAGGGAGAGATTTTACATACAAATATATATATACAATGGGCACCGCCCTTATACACAGCACATGTTGGGGCACTGCCCCTCCTTGCCTGCCTGGTTTTGCTCTGAGATAGCCCCCTGAGGGGTGGCTCTGAATTAGGAGAGCCCAGGCTGTAACCTTCTTTTGCCAATATGGCATTACAGATGGAGTTGTATGTGAGTGCGTAGGGAAGGCAGACCCTGAGTGCACACAAAGTGCTTTCTTCTCCACATCCTCCCCTTCCCACATGAAAAGCTCAGTTTTTTTTCTACTCCTTTAGAGTTCCGTCTTGGGCACTCCTGGGTCTTCCATGGAGGGCATGACCATTCCGTGCCCAGGGTCCATCCATAAGCTCCCCACTTCTAAGAGGAGCAGCTGCCCTGGGTTAATTTCAGGTTCTTGATCTTTGGCAAAACAGGAGGAATGAAGAGAGCTGTGTCCTCCCAACCATGGGGGCAGGGGACAAGTTGGCACTGCCAATCTTTCCTGACACCCCTAATACTGACCCATGCCACCAGGGTGGCAGGTTGGTACTATGCTGGATGGAGTTCCTTGGGCAGAGGATTCCAGTTTTCTCCCTTGGAAAGGGGCCATTACCCCCTCCTTCCCCAGCCCAGTCCTAGTCCTCAAAAGCTGGGTTTGATGCCCATCCTCAGGGGGTATGAAGCAGCATGAGGGGCAGAAGCAGCACAACCCAGGCAACTGGAAAGGTCCGAGGGGCAGCACTGTGTCCAACACTATGCAGGACCTGGACATTTGCATCATCTGGAAGAAGGAAAAGAATAAATCATAGATTCAGGGATGGTATAGGTCGTAGAAATTATCTAATCCAATCTCCTTATTTTACAGATAAGGGAAACTGAGGCACGAGAGAAGGGAAATGCTTTTTCCTACTAGGAAAAGCAGATCTGGAATTCAAACCCAGATTCTTTGACTCTAAATCCAGGGCTTCTTTCCACTAAATCAAATTGTCTCATGAAGCACGGAAGAGGTACCCCCACCCCTTTAGTGAGAAAGCACACAGCTACTGTAGAGATGCTTGTCTCATTGCTCTGTCATCTCATCACCAAATCCCAATGCAGTCAAGACCACCAGCTCACGTCAAGTGTGGACCTTCCCAATACCCTAACTCTCCTATCTACCATTTTCCTCCCTCTTCTGCCCCACTCCACCTCTTTCTAGTTATGGTCTGTTACCCACCTGAGGAAAATTGATTCTCATTCTGTGGATTGGCGTCCACCTGGGGGCTGTGAGCTGGAAGATATTAAGAGAGGAGAGTGAGAGGGCAGACAGAGAGGAAAATCCCCATTCTGAACAAGCTAGGCAGCCACAGGAGACTTCTATCTCCACTCTAGGTCCTATGATCTAGAGTTCCAGGGGGATGTTGAGGGGTGGCCAGCAGAATTGACACAAATAGCCCATATACTCACTGATTTTGCCATCGACAGTCACTTTCAATTTCAGGCACTGATCTCCATGGTGATGGATGGGTTTGGCTGCAAAAGACACCCATATTGTGGTGAGAAAGGGCCCCCCTTCAAGGGAAAATCCTGGTTCTACCCATTTGTCCTCTGTTTTTCTTAGCTCCTGGCTTTCTTAATGTTTCTACGGAAATGCATTTCTAAGACTGTTGATGATACTTGGACATTAATGGTTTCCTCAATGGATGAAGGTGCCTGGGTATTAATGATCTGTATATGTCCTTCTGAGTTTCCAGTCTCATATCCTGGAAACCAACTCCCCAAATAAGGAAAAGTAGGGACATGAGAAACATAAACTGTTGTAAAGCTTTAAGGAGATGGGTCACTGAAATAAGAAGTGCCGTCAATCTCCC